TATCCCGACGTCAATAACTACGATGTGTTGGACTATTTGAAAAGTGGGCGCCGTATGCCTCGACCCCATTACTGCCCGAAAATACTGTACGCCATAGTATTGAGCTGTTGGTCAGAGAACCCCAATTTTAGGCCTACTTTTGGGGAACTGGTCGATGAGATTCAAATAATAGCCACCGATTTGGATAAAAGTGTGAAAGAGGAACGGGTGCAAATAGACAAGTCCAACACCTATGTCAAGCATCCCATACCCAGTCGTGTCCGCAATCACGACCAACTGATACCGGAGTTGGATGAACAGGGTATATATGATGAGGTTATGCAGGAAATGGGGGACAACTATATGTATATGAGTCATAATGTTAAGTAAATGTTGACACAATTAATCAATGGATAATAAAATTATAAATACAGAATATTCTTACCTACACTTATGTATAAATTAAATGTTTGTTATGTTTAGCACACTATTATGAGTTTAATTAATAATTTTAATTATTCTGTACACAATTATTAATGTTACTAAATTTAATTTTAGGGATATATCTAAAATTGTTACATAAATAAGCTATTATTACAATTAATTGTTGAATAGGGATTTGCAACAATTATAAGTTTGTTATTAAATATTATTTATGTACACTAAGTTAGTATATTTTTTGTTATTACGAAATAAATAATTAATAATTTTCATCCATTTTTACAAATTATTTATTAGTTACGTTACAAACTATAACTAATAATGAAATAGTATTTTAATGAAAATAAATTACTAGTAATTAAATTGTCATATTAAATTTTGCACAAATAGTAGTACTAATAATTTAGTGTAAACACCATTACATTATTAATCTATACGTTTATTTTTAACAATAAATTTTTGTAAATTAAAAATTACCACAACAATTATTATTATGTTAAACAATATATTTAAAACTTTTATTTAAATTGAAATAAATTGATAAATAAAATTACAAAAACACATAAACAACATAAATAATTTATGATAATTAAAAATATGCCTCAAACTGATATACTCCCAGAATTATTAGGCAGTCCTTTCGTATCAGTGTCGCCGACCTGTAAACACAAGCAAACAAAACATACACACAATTAGTACAAAAACACTGTCCCGTAAGAGCACCCCCCTGTCCCCACAGATAACACACCCATTGGTTCTTAACCTTTGCCCCCTCGGGTGTCATCACTGCCTGCTTCTCATATATACTACCTTTTTTGGGATCACCCGGTGCTTTCTGGCCCTTATCGTCACCACCATCTGGAGGTCCTATCCTATTATTAGTCATATCTATGGCCACAGAAAGGAAACACAAATTAATTAATCATAACTCAAAACATATAAAACTTTTTCCCCCATTCATTACCGTCAAAGTTTGCAAAGCCAGCCGCCTGCGCCTGACTCCCTGCTCCCTGTGCCGCGTAGTTGGCAGCCTGTGCCTGATTCTGAGCTCCCTGTGCCGCATAGTTGGCCGCCTGTGCTTGGCTCTGAGCTCCCTGTGCCGCGTAGTTGGCCGACTGTGCCTGACTCTGAGCTCCATAGTTCTGAGATTCGTAACCTCCCGCTCCAAAATTCTGCATCTGACCCTGGCCCTGGTATCCACTTCCATAATAATTTCCCGGTTGCTGTCCCTGGCCATAACCACCATAACCACCATAGCCACCACCTCCACCATAGCCAAAACCACCACCGGAACCATATCCGCCATGTGCGCCATATCCCTGTACACCATTTGCCTGTCCCATACCGGACATAGCAGAAAATCCGTGAGCACCGCCAGACCCGTGAGGTTGATACTGGTGCTGAGCGGGCACCTGTCGTATTTTGAGAGCCTGTCTGCCACTACCCTTCCCGTGTGCCACCTTTGGACGGATTTTGTATCTGAAAAGTAGTCATTTGTTTCGAGTATTAATTAAATAATTAGTTATAAAAAAACTAAATCCTAATCACTAGATGCGGATTAAAAGGATAGCCGTGACATACCTATAGGGATGGCATATACGGTAGCAGTTCTTAATACTCTGAAATCGGTTGGCATTCCCTCCGCACCCGGTATACGAAAATGGTTTACACGTACGGGTCTCGTGATCGTAGTAAACGCGCGCCAAATCCTTGCTACAGGTGCCCGAGTCGGGCGGTTGGAAGCACTCGATGGGCACCGGCACCATGTTATTGTGCACCACCACCACTCGTGTCTTAAGCGCCGACATGCCGGCCGGAGTAGGCATGGGCTGCGGATCGGCCACATTGACTGTCACCGGGTGTTGAACCACCACCTCCTTAGACGGACTGTCCATTGATTCACCTTTGTTTGGTACTACAACATAGGGGTTGGGAGGGCTATCACAATGGGTATCATATATAATAAACTCAGTAATGACTTACCAGCTGCACCTGGACCTTTTTGCGTGGATAGCCCTAAAATGACAATTAAGTTGAGATTTTAAATATTTGTATCAATTGTTTGAGACAAATAGTTACCAATTAATGAGATTATTAAGAGACAAAACCGTAATAAAAATGCCATTTTCTCTACTATTTGAGCAAATATTTCATTCAACTATTAATTAACATGTTTTCTTAATTAAGATTTATGTCCCTTATGTATGGATTGAATTTATATACCGTATATGTGTTTAATTAAACTAACTTAATATATTATAATATAAGTTTATACGTACTATGTTTTTGGCTTTGATCAATGGGCAAATTATGTTTCTAAAATTTTTTGTAAGTAATAAAATAATTTACATAATTTATTATCTTTATGGTTTTCTCTAAATAATTTAAAATTTATTATTATTAAATTAAATATTAAATAATTGTTTATGTTTGATTTCATATTATTACATACGTATACTAAATATTGCAATTTATTTTATTACATGATTTATCATTATACTGTATCACTGTTTTCAGTAATTCAGAAAGCAATAAACTTAATAATTTAATATTATTACAATAATGCACATTATTATTATTTTGTCAAGTAAATCTGAATTAATAATGTTCATATTTGCGTGCAATTCATTTGGGTGCATTGCTATCAAAAATAAAAGTAATTAGGCTTTATTTTACAATAGACATGCAAAGTATGAATTCAATATTGCTGTAAATAATGTAACACACGATATACTAAAATAAAATACGATGACCTAAATAGGATCAATAACCAACTGGGTATATTAATATGGGTCTAAGTCAAAATAAATGTTTATGAAAAAATATCGTTACCCTAACATTAAATATTGCTTTTATATAATTATTAAATAAGGTTTAAAATTGTTACACTTAAGTTTCACACTCCAAGACTTCGTTAACATTTATTTGCTAAAAGAACCTGGCTATTCCCACTTTGTACCAAAGATTTATATTAAAATTGTCTAATAATATATAAAAATTATTTATATAATACTGTACATGTAAAGAATTAAATATTAGTCCATAAATAATCCAAGTTTTATGTAATTATAAAATATTTAATATTTGAAAGAACTTAAACTTATAAACAACTTCTGAAAATATCAAAATTAATTACAAAATTATTTAACTATATTAATGTTATTCTTAAGATATACATAATACAAGTGAGCAAAAGTTGATTATATGTGAAAATTATTTCATTATATTTCTAGATAACTGAAAATATNGCGCCAAATCCTTGCTACAGGTGCCCGAGTCGGGCGGTTGGAAGCACTCGATGGGCACCGGCACCATGTTATTGTGCACCACCACCACTCGTGTCTTAAGCGCCGACATGCCGGCCGGAGTAGGCATGGGCTGCGGATCGGCCACATTGACTGTCACCGGGTGTTGAACCACCACCTCCTTAGACGGACTGTCCATTGATTCACCTTTGTTTGGTACTACAACATAGGGGTTGGGAGGGCTATCACAATGGGTATCATATATAATAAACTCAGTAATGACTTACCAGCTGCACCTGGACCTTTTTGCGTGGATAGCCCTAAAATGACAATTAAGTTGAGATTTTAAATATTTGTATCAATTGTTTGAGACAAATAGTTACCAATTAATGAGATTATTAAGAGACAAAACCGTAATAAAAATGCCATTTTCTCTACTATTTGAGCAAATATTTCATTCAACTATTAATTAACATGTTTTCTTAATTAAGATTTATGTCCCTTATGTATGGATTGAATTTATATACCGTATATGTGTTTAATTAAACTAACTTAATATATTATAATATAAGTTTATACGTACTATGTTTTTGGCTTTGATCAATGGGCAAATTATGTTTCTAAAATTTTTTGTAAGTAATAAAATAATTTACATAATTTATTATCTTTATGGTTTTCTCTAAATAATTTAAAATTTATTATTATTAAATTAAATATTAAATAATTGTTTATGTTTGATTTCATATTATTACATACGTATACTAAATATTGCAATTTATTTTATTACATGATTTATCATTATACTGTATCACTGTTTTCAGTAATTCAGAAAGCAATAAACTTAATAATTTAATATTATTACAATAATGCACATTATTATTATTTTGTCAAGTAAATCTGAATTAATAATGTTCATATTTGCGTGCAATTCATTTGGGTGCATTGCTATCAAAAATAAAAGTAATTAGGCTTTATTTTACAATAGACATGCAAAGTATGAATTCAATATTGCTGTAAATAATGTAACACACGATATACTAAAATAAAATACGATGACCTAAATAGGATCAATAACCAACTGGGTATATTAATATGGGTCTAAGTCAAAATAAATGTTTATGAAAAAATATCGTTACCCTAACATTAAATATTGCTTTTATATAATTATTAAATAAGGTTTAAAATTGTTACACTTAAGTTTCACACTCCAAGACTTCGTTAACATTTATTTGCTAAAAGAACCTGGCTATTCCCACTTTGTACCAAAGATTTATATTAAAATTGTCTAATAATATATAAAAATTATTTATATAATACTGTACATGTAAAGAATTAAATATTAGTCCATAAATAATCCAAGTTTTATGTAATTATAAAATATTTAATATTTGAAAGAACTTAAACTTATAAACAACTTCTGAAAATATCAAAATTAATTACAAAATTATTTAACTATATTAATGTTATTCTTAAGATATACATAATACAAGTGAGCAAAAGTTGATTATATGTGAAAATTATTTCATTATATTTCTAGATAACTGAAAATATGTATAACATATTGAATGGATTTACCGAAATTAACTATAAATTTAATAGTTACCTAGAAAATAATGAGGACCCCATTGTGGGCCTAGAAAATTTGGAGACCTTTTTGTGCAAATATTATGTGTTATTATCGGCAAACTTTAAAGACTATATCATTGGACACATTGATATGAAACGACTCATCAAGATAATAATTCTGCGGATATGTGTTTTATTATTTACACTTCAATATGCCATATCCGCAGTGTATGATAGCACCGGTATGCAATATATTCTGTGCAATTCAATTTATTTATTGGGTAACTCCAGAATATTCTCTACATTACTCAGTTTAGCAGGTTTAATAACATTATCTATAGAAATTGATGCCAACTATAAAGAGTGGACAGGTAGTCATCATGTAATACGGCTACTAAATGAGATTAAATGTAAAATAATTAGCAATCCGTTAACTAACCAGGCAAATGTCCGTAAATTTGGTTATTATACAAACTTTGTAACCACTCATATAATGAACAAACTATTTATACCGATTAGTGTACTATTTTTTGCTCTGATATTCTCAACTACAATAATTTCATACATTGAAAATCCGGGAAAATATTATATAATAAACATTATATTCTGGTCGACAATAGCCCTAATTACATGTTTTGAGATATTTGCCCTGCTGTTTAGTGGGTCAACATATTGGTTCCTATCTATGATTTATCTCAGATATCAGTTACAAGAGATTAACACAGAATTGAAATTATCTCTAAATGTCAACCCGCACTTATTTATGAGGGCTATTATTAGACATTATTTAGTGGTCAGGGAGGTCATGGCAATGAATCGGTCTATGAGAGTGGTTATGTTTTTAGTATACTTCATACTTACACCTAGCATTGACTTAATCATATACCTATCCACCGATAGCCATACTAATATATACGCTAGAATATTCTATAAATGTTATATTACTATTTTGGTTGGCATTATATTTTCCCTGACACTCATGTGCGGGTCAGTTGCAAAAACAGCACATAATTGTCGCCCACTTTTGCATACATGTCTACAAAACCCTAATATCCCGTTGAGGTATAGACTGAAAATACATGCATTCAATGACCTGCTGTCCGGTTCGGACATTGGTTTCTATTGCTATGACTTGTTTCCGATGAATAATTACGAGTTTTACGACTACTGTTGCAAAATTATCTACTTGTATATACTTATTGTGCAATTAATTAAAGATATGCAAAATAATTAATTGAACATCATAATGCAATGTAATGCGATATATTTATAACATATTTTAAAATTTTAATTTTGCTCAACAAATAAAAAAATAAAATTTAACAATTATTTTATTTTAAAATTTTATTTTAGTATAAAATAAATCAATTATTATTTAATTATAATCCATACATTTATACCATTATAATTCACTATCAGGTGAGGAATGGCGATCAAACAATGGCATACTCGGCTCAATGACCAGGGATCTATATGTCGTGCCACTCATTGTATTTAACTTCTTATAGAAACTAAAACATAAATTAAGAAAATTATTAAACTAAACGCACAAAACTACAATAAATGCTTACATAAAAATGACCACGACTATAATGATAATCAGAATCGCAATAATAATTGTATTAAATACGGCTAATGTGTCGGTGTTATTGGTACCGGTGCTGGGATTTTTATCACTTATATCACTATGAGATCCAATATCATGTGAGATATACTCTTGATTACCACTATCAGTTTCCTTGGACAGACACCGATAGCTTGTCCCCAACGGTATGCATAGCTCCAGTTCTTTACACACATGTGCTTCACATCTATTGACGGCATTAGGTCTCAACAGTGGACTCATTGTCTTAAAGCTGTAAAACTTTTCTCTACTGACTCTCAATGTCTTAAACCCATAAAAGTATTCATTATTTTTGCTAAAACTTTGGTTCACATCATATGTAGTGAACAGTACCTCGGCCTTCGGTATACGTAACGGGAATTCCGGTATTTTATACACCATTTGATCGTTAGATAGATATAAATCGCGATTCAATACCGACATTGAGTTCAACGAATGAAACAATGGATACGAAGTGTAGAAAAGTTTTTCATTATTGCCGTAAAAGTCCACAGAATAGAGTGAATAGTCTGTGATATCAATGAAATAATATCGTTGTGTCTGATAGTCGACTGTCAGATGAAATGCTTGTCTATTATTGTCGTAAATAACCGATTGATTACTTCCGTCTAAATTGCTTTCAACGATATGTGCCTTAAATCCGATTTCACTCCAAACTAATACCCCTTTCAAGACATTTATCCGTAAATCCCTGGCGTTTCCCGTATTTATGGGACATACTGTGTATATGTTTTTACTGTTTTCAATGTGCAATACTTTTATCACTTTTACATCCGTGTCCAACCAGTAGATCAGGTCATGGATGTAATCGAAAGCTATTAGATCGTGTCTGACATCCCGTCCCGTCAATGGGAATCGGTTTACTTCAGACCAATCATTTAAATCAATTAACTCAATGTGTTTGGCGTCCCTTTGGTAGACAACTACCAGTCTTTGGGTGAAGTCGTATTCAATGATCTCATTGATGTCCACACCAGTGGACACCACTCGCCGGACAGTATGGTTGGCGTTATTAACCAGAATTGAATAGTCAGTGGATATGAGTGCACCGGCATTCGTGTTCAAACCTAGTTAACCAAATAAAGTAATTAAATAATTATTTTTAGATACCTGTGTATAAATTACCAGTACAGTATAATTAAATAATAATTTATAGAGACTTCTAACGCAATCATTAGAGTAAATAAAATAATAAATATTAAAATCTATGTTAATATTTATTTTTAATAAACAATAACCTGTGCTAGTGTACCATTTTAATGAATGTATATTTATTGATTGAAAAATATTTTAGGAGTTGTTATTAGATATTGAATATTTAAAAAGTTAAGTTTTTAAGGAAATCATATTTTCTTATATTACTTAAGAAATATAGCAAAATGGATATAAAATTTGCCGGATTTGCCAAAATTGACCACAAATTTCACAGATACTTGGAAAACAATGTCGACTATACTGTAGGTATCAGAAAATTGGAGACTTTTTTGGGTAACAATTATGTGTTATTGTCGGCAAACTTTCACAACTATAGCATTGGATCTATTGATAAGAAACGGCTCATTAGACTAATAATACTACGATTGTGTGTCATATTATTTTCGCTCAAATATGCCATATCAGCCGTGTTTGACAGCACCGGTATGCGATATATTCTGTGCAATTCAAACTACATATTAGGCAACTCCAGAATATGCTCCGTATTATTCAGTTTGGGCGGATTTATAGTGATTTGCATACAAACTTTTTTCAACTACAGAGAGTGGACAGGTAGCAATGAGTTGGTACGACTTGTAAATGATATTAAGAGCCATACAATTGACAACCATTTAACTAATCAAGCAAATGCACGAAAATTTGGTTATTATGCTAACTTTTTAACCACTCATATAATGAACAAACTATTTATACCAATGAGTGTTGCCTTTTTTGCCCTGATACTATCCACCACAATCGTTGCATTCGTGAATACTTTGGATACATTTGTCGTGATCAACATAATATTCTGGTTGATAATAACCCTGAGCTTATCGTACCAATTATTTTCCCTGATGTTTGGGGGATCAATATTATGGTTCCTGTCTATGATTTACATTAAATACCAACTCAAAGAAATTAATGTAGAAATTAAAAACTATCTTGATACTGGCGATTATCAATCTATTATTAATGCGATTAATAGTCACTATTCAGTCACCAGGCAGATTATGGCATTGAATAACATGACCAGAGTAATTATGTTTTTGACATATTTCCTAATAACACCTGCCATCGACCTACTCACATACCTGTCCACTGGGAGTGATACAAACATTTATGCCAGAATATTCTTTATTGTATTAAACTTTACACTTATTGGTACTATATTTTCATTACATATTTCCTAATAACACCTGCCATCGACCTACTCACATACCTGTCCACTGGGAGTGATACAAACATTTATGCCAGAATATTCTTTATTGTATTAAACTTTACACTTATTGGTACTATATTTTCATTAACACTAATGTGTGCCTCCATAGCAAAAACAGCACATAATTGTCGCCCACTTTTGCATACATGTCTACAAAAGCCTGACCTCCAGTTGAGGTATAGACTGAAAATACATGCATTCAATGACCTGCTGTCCGGTGCGGACATTGGTTTCTATTGCTATGACTTGTTTCCGATGAATAATTACGAGTTTTACGACTACTGTTGCAAAATTGTCTACTTGTATATACTTATACTGCAATTAATAGATAGTTATTCGTTATAAATACACAGTAGTATTAGTATTTGTATATTGTAATTTGAATTACCTTTTAATTCAAAATTAATTAAAATTTTTCAAAAATGAATGCTGTATAATATATTCACACATTCTTGAGACCAAATATAAATTCACTTTTATAATTATATTTTAGACAAAACTCTTAGACTTATAATTTACAGTCTATTTAGGCAGTCTATTAATTTATTTATATTATCTAGTTCAGTATTATCATTTAAAATGAGATTATTATACACAGATAATCGAGATAATTATGAAACAAGTTTAACTACTCACCCATATCCTCGGTCTCAAACGTGATATTAAAACCTCGTTTAACGTTATTGTGGTCCGTAATGAGTCTTATGGACACATCTTTATCAGTGATTAGCATATTAGCGGGAATGGTATCACCGGTATAATTGCCAACCAATTTACAAGGATTTAAACTACTGAGCGGTTGTTCACATTGTTTAACATTTCCCTCATATACGAGTAAAAAGTCGTGGTTATCCTCCAGTTGTAAATCATTGAATATTAGGAATATATTCTTCACATAAGATGTCTGTATATTCCACACACAGTTCATGTCCTCGTAATAGTGATCAGGGTAACCTGGACTGTATATGTAACTTGGAATTATATTGTCATTTAAGATACCACCGCAACCTATGGTTAAGCAAAAAACTATTTTTTAAAACTTTAAAATATAACAACAATTATTAAATAAATATTAAAATATTATTTTTAACTAACAATGAAAATAAATAAATGTTTTAAATTTTCAATTTGATAATAAATAAATTTGGTATAACACTAGTATAAATCATAAACAATAGTGTTTGTCGTTAAAAATCTTGTCTATTTTTATTAATTAGCAAATCAAGTAAATTTTATTTACCATATTGCACAGTCTCGTAACTTAACAAAAAGTTGCCAACCGCTGTTTGATCCAGTTTCAATAACACCTGATTGCCCGATGAGACTACATGTCCAGATTTATTGTTCAAATTGCCTCTTAATTGTGCGATTGAAGTGTTTTTATCGCTGTTTCCGTCATAAACAGTGAGAAAACCTCGGCTTAAGTACAACTCCTTTACAGTCAATACAATACTCCGATTGTTAGCCACAGTTATACTCCAAACGCATTCACTGTTCATTGTTTTCACAGTTATCTCGCCGTTTGGTTTCGTGTGGTTTCCGCCGCAATCGCCTGTCCATTATAATACACTTATTAACATACAGTATTTTTAACATTTTACAAAGTTTATTAATTAGCATACATTTCTATGGGAAAGTAGCATTTTCAAATAATTGGACATGTGTGTTTAATAAATCTTACCTGATATAACATTAATTGAATTGAAAATTATTATTATTATGATTAGCGCACATAATTTAGTAGGTATTAATTTAGACAGCATTTTTACTGTTAAATGTTAAAATGCTTATAAGAATATATAATTTTTATTCAATGATTTACTAAAAAATAAAGTTTCTCATAACATTTGTAATTTTTGATTCAATTTAGCAGTTACTCTGATTTATTCAATTATATAATGTTGAAAGTGAAATGTGCAAAACAGTAAAACATAAACATTATTAATAATAACAGGAAAAGAGTTTCACATTCTTATCGATAATTCCATAGAAAATGTTAGGAAATCAAAGTCTATGCGATAAGTGAGACAAAAGGTTTGTGATGTGAATGATATGAAAATGTAAACATAAATTGAGACATAAATATAAAGTAACATTTAATTAATTGAAACTCTAGATATACTCAGAATCATTTGATATGTATAAACATGGAATATTTATGTGATATTTTATATCACTAATAAGTTCAAGGAACTTTAAAATAATTTAATTCTAATTACATTACATTTAAAACTAGTTACGTTATAAAGGTTATACAATTGGTTGATAAATAAGATAAATTATAAATTTGTTGTTAAATCATTTTGATCCATTAGATTTTGTTGCACTAATGGTATAGAAATTGGTGAAACACCTCGGTCTTTAATCAGGGTAAGCATATATCGAGACCTTTGCATAAATAATAAAATTGTTAATTTTAATTTACTAATATAAAAGTGTACAATTGTATAATTAAATACATACACAATAGCGATTGTTATAATAATTAATGCAATGATTAATATAATATTAAATATTTCCAATAAAGTGAACGCATTATTGACTTGAGTGTAAGGGTTTTGGTAATTATAAGTATTAAAATTACTTTCATTATTATAATTGCTACCATTTTCAAGAATAATCCGCTTTTGAATAAGGTTATTTAAATTAGTTAAAAGTAGTTGAGTTTTATTATTTAAATCATGGAGTTCTCGGTGTTTGTCCACAACATGGTTAGTCAATGATTGAAGGCTTTTGTTATTTGCAAAAATTTGCTTAAATATTATATCGAAATTATTTTGAGTTTCATTGTGCTGTATAAGGGGTACAAAATGTTTAGGTTTCACTATATGTGGGACAGTCTCATCGGCTATACATCTATAGGACTGGCCACTCGGTAGGCATAATGTGTGGCATTCACTCGATTCACATCTATTTGTTGCGTTTGGTTGTAATATACGACTCGTTATTATAAAGCCATAGATTTCTGAACTTTTTATAACTGTTTTATTGTATTCATAGAAACCTTTGCCTTCAATGTGACTATAGTTCTGTGTTGTGAACAGAATCTCCGATTTTCTTATTCTGGACTCCAATTCCGGTATTTTATAAATCATGTGATTATTGGATAGAAATAAGTCATTATTCAAGACATACATTGAATTCAAGGATTCAAAGAAGTCTTTAGAAGTTATGAAATATTTCTCATTATTGCCGAAAAAGTCCACAGAATATAGTGAATAGTCTGTGATATCAATGAAATAATATCGTTGTGTCTGATAGTCGACTGTCAGATGAAATGCTTGTCTATTATTGCCGTAAATAACTGTTTGATTACTTCCGTCTAAATTACATTCAATTAATTGAAGTTTATATCCGATTTCACTCCAAATGAGTACACCTTTCATGACATTAATTCGTAAATCCCGGGATATTTCACTATTTAATTGAATAATTGTTTCAATATTAGACTTTGTGTTAATATTTGCCACATTAATAGTTTCCGACTGACTGTCTATCCAATAGACTAATCCATGAATATAATCCATTGCAATATCATTAGGTCTTATAATACCAGTCAATGCATAGGAATTCAGTTGTTTTGTTGAATTCATGTCAATAATTTTGATTTTATTATTTTCTCTCTGAAACACAATTACTGTTGAATCCGTGTTATTATAGTAAATAATGTCATTATATTTCCAGTATTTAGTCATTGATTTGTTTAACAGAGTTTCATATAAACTATAATTACTTGATATTATAACTTTGTGTTCATTCCCTATAAGAATTGCAAAATATATTAATTCAATTGGTACACTATATTATAATATTAAATGGTTTAGTGATAAGTTAATACAATAGTTACCCATAATTCTTGTTTTGTATGATATTTTAAATCCTTTATGCACTCTATTTGAATCACTTGTAAACTTAATTATAAGTTCATTATTAACTGATGATATATTTCGGGAAATAGTATTTATATTTCCTGAGAGGTTGGCATTTAAATGATTGCATACATTATGACCACTAATACAGTCAAACACTTCGAGATAATCTCTATTTATTTCGGTCTCGAAGTCATCGAAACTCAAGAATATATTCCGATTCCGGGAGACCTTTATAGTCCACTCGCAGTACATGTTCTCGAAATAGTGATCCGGGTAACCAGGACTATAAATTGTGCCTGTTGATTCAGTTAATGAACCACCACAACCTAAATTATTTTTATGGTTTTAGATTATCCAAAGCTTTAGATAAATATTAAATTTTATTAATTAATTGCAATAAAAAAATTTCATACCATATCTAATAGTCTCGTAATGCAAGTGAAAAACACCCATTAATTTGGTTTTAATTAACACGTGATTTGTTGCCGAAATTAGGTGTTTAATAAAATTTAAATCTGTTTTCTCTGTAAACTCTATCAATGTCTGAATTCCTTCACCAAAACCATCATAAATAGTAATAAACCCATCGATTGGTTCAAATGTTTTCAAATACAGTCTTATACTATGATTTTGAGCCACAGTTATAGTCCATTCACATTCATTAACCTCGAAATTATGCACATAGGTCGCATAATTTATTTCACCAGTGCTATCGTTATAGTACCCACCACAATTATGCCCTAATAAAAGTAATTATGAGTAATTATTTTTAAAATTTTATTTTTGTGTCAAAATCTAACCTCGTACGATAGGTTTATATTTAATATTTAAGTGACCAGTAATATTAGTTCGTATATTAACATAGCTGGCACCCGAGATTAAACTTATATTTTGAGATATACGTTGGTTATTATTACCGTAAACACGGTCATAACTACCGATCCCATCTGTTATCGTTATGAGTCCATTTGTAATAGATAATTTTGTCAGAGATAATTCAAAGCTATGGTTATGATCCGGGGCATGTATAAGCCAATTGCATTCGTTAAAATTTTCATAATAATTATCGTAAAAGTCCGTGCTCAACTCAATAATTCCATTTTGATCCGTAATAACGTGATGACAATTCAGTGGACCTAGAAACGATTATTACAAAATATTAAATTAAATTAAATAGCATGTTTATTTCAGTCGCCTAATACATACTTCGTTTGCCACGAACATATTTTATTTTGAAACCCTTTCCCACAATATTGTTACTATTGCTGGTGAATACGAGTCCTATTTGATCCGTTGGGATAGCAATGGTTTTGGGTTGAACAGGGCCACTTAGACTTGAGTGAAGTACTAAATTTTTACCACAAATACTGTATGGGCATGAGTAAATTTTTAAAATATCATTATTAAATTCGGTGTCAAAATCTTCAATGAGCAAATAAATGGTATCGTTTGGTGAATATGTTACTCTCCATACGCAATTTAAATTATTAGCGTAGTTGCCTGGATAATTAGGACTTGTAATCACCCCTTCATTGTCATATAATTGAAGTTCACTACACACTGTTTTAAATATTTTATTACATAAATTAACATTGTTTTATATAAATTGAAAATTAATTAATTGGTGATGCTAAAACTCACATGGAAGCAATCCAAAAATAATACCGCTTATGCTATCTGCAATAAATTAAAATGTTTATATAAATATGATATAATTATATTTATGGATAATAAAATACTTACATAAAATAAAGAAACACATGAATATGTTTACTCTATTCATTTAATATAATTAATATTAAACCAGATATTAATATAATTAAATTACTAAATTTCAAGTACTTTAATAAAAGTTGACTTCAAATATGACATACTATAACAATAACTACTACTTATTGTAATAACAACTACTTACATTTTAATTCAATAATAAAATACAGTATTATATAC